TCAATATGATTTACATTTTTCCGTTTCAATAAGAAAATATTGTACGGAAAATAACAAACAGAATTTATAGCTCAATTCATTTTCCAGCTGCAGCTGTATACATATTCCGCAGCTATAAATGTAGAAAAAAATCTTAAAAATTACGTCTTAAGTTGAAAAGCAAATTGCAAGAGGCAAATAATAAAAGTAAAATGTTGCAGCTAATTCAAAAAGCTTTTAAGAACTGACAACGACTCGCAGCACGTTTTAGCCAGGGCGGGGTCTATAAAAATAGCGTAATGATATAATACAAGCGGCACAACATTATAACGAGACAGAACCGCATGAAAAACCATTTATTTCAGATACTTTCTGCTATTATTTGTTCTCGTGCTTTGCTCACATTTATTTTTATTTTTTGCAATGCTGCAAGTCGATTATTTATAGAGAGCGTGTTTCAAAAGCAACAAAATTCTTCTGCTCCTTTGCCATCGATAGCGGCAATCGAGCAGAGCAAAGCCACAAGTGTCGCGGCGCACGAGAGATAAGACTGCATTAGCCGCTCGTGAAACAGATGTCGTAAATTTTGCGAAACTCTAAAGTTAAATAGCGCGTAAAACTATGAACAATGCAAAACTCTAATGAAAGCCATAAAATGCAAATAATAAAAAATGGCATAAAAAATGAAAACTAAATGGAATGAACACAAGCGAACCCCGCCAGAGGCAGCGTCTGGCTGTTATCGAAGTTTAAATACACAGAATTTCTCTTAAGAGAATTATACTGCCATGAATCATATGTATATAAATTTATTTTGAAGATTAAATAAAATAAAGGCAGCGCAAAAAATTGTTTATTAAATGCGCCGCCAAAAGTTCGCACATAAAATTTTCCTTTACGCTAAACGTGTGAAGAATTTGCGACTTCCTGCCCTCAGTGCTTACGCTCTGCTGCTCTCTCTCTCTCTCTCTCTCTCTGTCTCTCTTTCTCTCTCTATCTTTTGTGAGTCCTCATGTCTCGATGTGCTGCCTTCAAGCCCCTTCTACTGCCTGCCTTCTGCTTCCTACCCTCCGCACTCACTTCTTCCGACTTCTCATTCTGAGCAGAGCCTGCGCCCAGTTTATGCGCTTAGAATACGTTTATATGTTTTTTGTTTAATTTTTTCAGCATTTTTTTATTTAATTTTTTTGTGTGTTTTGCTATAAAAATGTTTAATGAAAAGTTTGGGCCATAAAGCATAAAGCATGTGCAGTTCCAAGCGGCAATGGGCGGGAGCGGGGGTGGGCACAGTAAAAACTCTGACTCATGGGATATGCGAATAAGCCAAGTTTGAGAAATTCTTGTTGCTGCCGCTGCTGCTGCTGTTGATCGTCATTTGGTTTCCCATGCAGCCAAGCATTGCGTCGATTGTGGGTGGCTTGGCCAGAAGCAGCAGGCTGAAGACAACAGACAGCAGACGGCAGAACAAAGCTGGGAAAAAGTTCGTGCGGCGCGTTGCAGCAGGAAAACATTCCGCAAATGCATTTCCCATGCCCATTTTCTTGCCAACACGCTCAAAACAAAAGCGCAGCGCGGAAATGCATATTTAAGCCAAAGAAGCGGCAAATGGCCGAAGCAGCATCAGCAACAACAAAATTAACTACGAGCGCAGCTCGTAATTTCAATTTAATTAAATCAACAGAAAAAAAGGAAAAAAGAGAGAACGGCTTCTTAGTTTATAGCCGCCACCTTCACTTTCTCACACACGGGCACACACACACCTGATGTTTGTTGTGTGTGTTTTTATTGTTGGCTTGCGTGTCACATTTCATTTCAATTGCGCCTCTCCCGCTCCCGCTCCCTCACCCTCTCCCTAGTCTGTCTCGCTTACCTCATTCTTCAATATTTTTAATAAGTTTGTTCCACATTGCTCAGCTACAGCTGCTCTTGCTCTTGCCTCCCGCTCTTCTTCTCTCTTCTCTCTCTCTCTTTCGCTCTTCTGTTTTGGCCACATTAACGCTTAACAACTTTTTTGTATTATAATTATTGGTGTGATTTTTTTATGCTTTCCTCTTTTGTTAACTCTTTGCAGGCACTTTTCGTTTTATTTTTCCTTTTGTATTTTGTCCCCCTCAGCCACGCCTACGCCCCGCTGCTGTGGTAATTATTATTTATTTTCAAGGGTCAGTGATTTTCTCGTTTGTTTTCTTTCGCCACATTTTTCTGTCTTCGGCGTCTATTCAATTGAATTTTGGCGTGTGAATTTTGTGTAGGAAACACATTTTTCTTATGGCTTTTCAGCCAGAGTTTTTTGCCGCTTAAAAGTTTGTTAACAGTTCTAAAAAGTTAGAAATTTATAAATATCAAAAAGTTGCATACGCATAAGACTTAAGTTTGAGTATTTTAGTAGTGAAGAAAAAAACGAAATAAATTTTTGGTTTGCTAGAAATTGCTTTAGGCACGTGAATTATTGAACTCTCTGTCAGCTTTATGCTAGAAAGTCTTAAATATAGCTTATATATAGAATATATATAAAAATGAAACTTGAGTTTGTGTTGTAAATGTAGAATATATCATCGTGTATATATGTGGGAATTGTTAGTAAAGTCTTCCAGGCATATAAGTTCTTTCATAGTCTTTGAGTTTCGTACTATAAACTTAGTAAGCTCTATTTATATTTCAAACTTGAACATATAAAACCCTATTGTAAAAGGAAATATGCTGTGTTATGCATAGTATTGAAAAATGCTGCCAAATTGGAGAAGTTGAACATTTTCAAAGGTTTTTCATAAGCTTTGTTTAAGTTATTTATTCAAGCAATTTCTATGCTTCTATTAATGATCTCTATTAGGCATGGACGCAGACTTAAATGGCCAAATTCTGTGGCGATTTCATAAGCATTTAATGGCAACATTTGTCGCTTGTTGCCCTATGACATATTCATTGCTCTATTGTGCCACGCCCCCTTCGAATGCACTCGCCGTTTGCATTAATTATGCATTTACATGCATATGCGAATAGAATTTCAATATTATGCACTGGGAGCATTTTATGAATGTGTGTGTGTGGGCATGTGTGTATGTGTGTGGATCGCTAATGAACAAAATGCAGTCAGTGCAGTTTGTTGCCTTTGTTTTGTTGGCCTACAGCTGCTGCCGCTGTTTTAATTATGTTGCTGATGGGACAAGGGTGGGCTGCCAGTGGGTGGTGAGGGCGGGGGCTGTAGGTGGAGCAACAAAGTTACAAATATTCAACGGCTGTTTTTGGCTAACATAAATGAGGCGCCTTTGTCTGAGGCTCTAAAAATTTATGCAGCTATGAAAACGTAACGAGGCGCATTGAAAATGTTTCAAATGTCCATAAAAAGCAGGAATACAGGCAACGTATTGGACTTTGGGGAATGGACTAGGGGCTTTCATTAAGGAAAATGTAAGCTGATATATAGATCGTATATATTGCTTCTATATGTACCGATATAAGCACTCGCATTCTCAAATTTTGCTACTTTTAAAGTGCTTTGCTAGATTTTGCTTTGCTTTTTTCTCATTTTCTAGTCTGGCTTATTAATTAATTAATTATAGACTCGCGCTCATCATCATCGTTTTTTTTTTTCATTATTATTATTAATTTAGCGTTTGCTGCCGCGGCTGCAGCTGCATTGAGTGTGGTTAAAGGAGACATGGCAAAAAAAATCAGTGTTGTCTAGCGCATTCGCATTCATTTTTGCGCCTCTTTTTGCCTTGTTCATTAGCATTTGTAGGACATCAGCTTATGATGGGCTTCTCTCTCACTGTCCACTTCTCTGTTGCCTCTTCCTGCTGTCAGGCGAAAAAATTGCATAGTTTTTTGCATTCTTTTCTTTCTGTTCGCTTCTATTTGTGCCTCGTTCTCTTTGCTCTAACAACATTTTTTTGCTGTTGTTGCTCTTGTTACTTGTTCTTGATGAGCTTGTTGTTCGCCTCTTCTCTTTTTTTGTCGCTGTAAGCCAAATAGTCAATGGCTATGGGGCGTGGCTTTACCATCAGACTTTAAGAAGCACAAAAAGCAGAAGTAAATAGTATGCGTGAATGCGTTGTAAGCTAGAATTCCTCTCACCAGACGAGCTACGCATTGATGGACTCACACTTAATCACATTTGCAAGGCGTTGTGAGCATTGCTTTGACTGACTGGCCTGAGTTTTATGTAATTTAACTAAGTATTTAATATGTCTAGAATGAAGTTTTTATATGGTGAAACCAGCTTTGTTTTAATTTAAAGTTTTTTCCTCACGTTTCTAGGCTGATCCTAAGATGAATCTGTATTTACGGACTTTAACTGAGGAAAACATTGTCCTGAATACATGTCACTAAATCTTTAGATTATTTAATTGTTTAAAGTGTTGTTTAAGTAGTGTATTGTATAGTCATCAATCTATCAGTCAATCTAGACAAACTTTTGTATAAATATTAACTGATATTCTAATGAAATAGATATATTAGAGACAAATATTCAATATATAGAGTCGATGCATTTAGCTCTAGCCACAACAAATAATATTTATGTATATAAATCAAACATTTTAGTAGATGTTGCATAAATAAATCTTGAATAATGGGAGAACATATTAATTTATATAAATAAACACAATATAGGCTGCTAATGAGAACCCAAAACTCTGCCCGTTCGTCTCATAGCACATTTGAAATAATTTCAATTTCAAACTCCAACGATAATTTGTAAATGCGTAATTAAATTTGATTGCTCGATAGTTTTCCAAAGCCACAAATTCAATTTCATTTACGTATATGATATATATATATATAAATATATATATGACTTATATATATATACGTGTATGTTTCTATGCGTTGGGGTTGCTTTGGCCCTCGCATAATTATGCTAATGATAATTCACTTTTTAATGTCTTTCGGCTGTTTGATAGAATCGTAATCTACCTGCCCACGGCTGTGCCTATAATTTTTTCATTTTTAATTCTAATTCCTATTTTTGTTGGCAATTATATAGGTATATATGTATAGTGGGTGGGGTTGGGTGCACTTACCTATTTCGGCGCTGACATGAGCAACAACTGTCAGGCAGAGCAGTGGCCAGAGCCATGTGCCAAATGTTGTTGTTGCTGTTGTTGTTGTTGTAGGTCGCCTTGTCAATCCGATTAGCTTTGGGTTTGGGGGCGAGGGCGCTCTGGCTGGGCTGTTGCTGTTGCTGCCGCTGTGTTGTAAGCGCCTCAGCAACATGTTGCCAGTGTTGTAAGTGTTGCCAGCTCGTCGTACGTAATGTTGCCAAGGTTGTTGTTGTTGTTCGGTTTCTATTTATTGGTTTTTGTCTTTGGTCTTTGAGTTTTTGCCTTTGCCTTTGCCTCACTCACGCACATTCAAGGAGAAGCAGGACTAGCAGGAGTAGGGGCGAGTGTATTTGTTGGGTCCTTTCGGTTCGCTTATTCGTTTGTCAGTTGTTGCTGCTGCTGTTCTCGTTGTCAGATTTTAGTTCTGTTGCTGTGTCGCTTTGGCATTTAGTTGATTTTTATGGTTTGTTTGATATATTCTTATTTCTTTTGGCTTTTCTTCTGAACTTCTCTTGTTTGCAATTTCATTTCCTTTACACTGATTTACACTTATTTCTCACAATTCTGCTGATAAGTTACAATCATTGAACATTATGCAAAGGAGCTGCAAAGAAAATTGAAAAAATTGAAAGAAAAACAGGAGAAGGTACGTAGATTAATATAGGAGTGCGAGGAGTAGGCGAAATTTAAATTATTTTAAGTCTAATTATATTATTTTGATTTTTATTTACGTTCTTAATTTTCTTATTATTTATTTTTAGTTGTTTTTATTTTAACATATTTATTAAAGTGTAATTTTTAGTTATTTTCATTATTAATAATATTATTATTATTTTCTTATATGTTATTTTTATTTTTTTATTTTTTAAAATTATTTTGATTTAATTTTATATTTTTTTAATTTATTTATTATTATCTGTATCTATTATTAGTTTTATTTAACTTTATTATTAAATTTTTATTTTGAAAGTACATTATAATAATAATTCTGTCGCAATTCATTTCTTTATCAAATGTATTTAATGTTATTCTCTATCAAAAGTATATTTAGACAGCTTTAGTATCTTAATTTATCAATCAAATCAATTTATTGTTGCCTCAATTACATAAACTTTCTTTAAATTACTGTCACAGGTAGCTATAGCTCGTCTTAGCAACTTCCTTTCTATGCGTTTGATGCGATAGGGCTTCGTTTACAATTGCCATTGATACGTGACTTAAGTGTGCTCCCTGACGATTATCTTTTGTTTCTGAGCCTGTGATTATAACGCATGCAAATTTACGCTTTCAAGTTTTCTCAAGTTTATTTGCTCTCAAATCGAATTTCACACGTGCTTCAATTGCAATTGATACGCATTCAATTTGCTTTGATATTATTTCAGATTTCAGTGATTTATTTATTGAGAATTTGCTCTTGTCTGAGCAATGGGATCTGATTGCGCAAATTCAATAATTTAAATATGTCAAATGAAATTAAAGCCTCGAAATTGAGACTTGAACGAGAAAACTAAATTAAATACATTTAAGACAAAATTCGTTTAGATGCTGTGAAACTTAATCATAATGAAGAAAAGTTTTCAAGAATTTCATGATTAAACTTCTAATTTTTCCTTCTTTTTTTTGGGTTAAAGGCAAACAGAAACAAAATTGGTTTTATTGAATAGGAAAAGACGAAGGGCGAAGGACAGAGGCGTGGTCAATTGCTATTTCCTAAAAGTATGCTTGGAAATATTTGTGCGATTTCTTGCTGCTGTTTGTTTGTCCAGCAGCAACTGGACCATGTTGGCGATTTGTATATATTTTAGAGGCAGCCGCTTATTGATTTCGTCGAAGGCCGCACACACGCGGCGTATGCGCAATATTTGCCTTTTGGCACTTGCCAACCAAAAACGAACGAACCGAGCAAAATAAATAAATAGCGTGGAATGCGAGAGAGCGAGGGAGAACCGCAGCAACAGCAACAGCAAGAATAACAACAAACAAATAATATTAACCAAAAACTTAGCCAAAATGTTGTTGATGAAAACGTGACTGGACACATTGAGTGGTCCGAATACAAATACAAATACAAAATGCAATCAGAAGTACAAATATATATATGTAGTGTATATATAAGTTAACTTATAACACTTAGTTAGCTTATAACACTTAATGTAAGGTATTATTCAACACTTATTATCGGGTGCTAGACAAGTTAAGGAACAGCCCTGGCAAGGGCAACTCTACTTACGCCGGTGAGGCTATGATTTGTAAAAATATAGATCAGTCTCGTGTTTTAACTCGTACTGATAGGACATGCTAAAAATTGGTGTCATATAAGTAAAACTAAAAATAGTGAATATAATAAGAAAAACCAATAAAATTAACTGTTTCGATTATTCAAAAAAGAACAATTAAAAGCAGGGTTAAAAAGCGTTCTTCCAGTAAACCGCTTAAATAAATATTCACTCCGTCATTTGCTCGTTAAATGGCTTATTTCATTGTCTGAGCCCGAGGCCAGCAATAAGAGGCACAGTCGCCTCTCAACCTAACTTTCAGTCACCACAGGACTGGAAAACATATAATTGGCGCCCAACTAGTGGTCGGACTCCACAACCAACAACAATTAAGACAGCAGCGCGGGAGCTGCAATTGACAGATCTTATAAAGGGATTTTTTTTTTTGTTTTGTGTTAGTTGAATCTTGTAAGTGGATACTCTAGCCAAAATTTTTCTTCAAACACAAAAAGTGTTAAAATTTATTTTATAAAAAAATAGCTAGGACTAGCGAGTATTTTATATTGCAATTGCATGTAAAAAAAAAAAAAAAAAAAATTAATGATCAGAACCAAGTGAGAGTGACTACTTTGGGAATTTTAGTGGCAGCAATTGATCATTCAGATCGTCAATAAAATTACATTGTGTTACTTTCTGTGTGTCTGAAGTTGTGCATGCAGTTCTCGTAGTTCAGAACTGCGACGTAATTCGACCCATCTTCTGACGGCCCGTTTTATTTTTCGCGACCACTGACCTGCGCATGTCTCGGTTCAACCAATAGAGAAACCCTCGCAGGCAGTCTAGCGACTCAGATTCCGACTGTGCAGTTCTCCCACCATCAGGTAGAATGGATGTAGATCAGCTTACGGAAGTAATAAGGACGGCTATCAGCAAAGCTTTAGCCGAACAGGCTGCTGTAAACCAGCAGAGGGAGCATGCATTGACTCAAAGAATTAATGAGTTAGCTGAACAAATAGCAGATGCATCCCCATTAGTTAGAAGTTCTTTTTTGAAAATGCTGAAGACCAGACAAAAGGCCTTTGCAGACCCAGACGAGACGTTGCCGTATAACACATCAGTCGTGGCTACCATTAGGACCATAGATGAGCAACCGATCTATACCAAGCTTTACCCATATCCAATGGGAGCGGCTGATTTCGTTAATAAAGAAATCAAAGATCTACTAAAGAATGATATAATTCAAAAGTCCGTCTCTCCCTACAATAACCCAATATGGGTAGTAGACAAGAAGGGCACTTATGAAGCGGGCAATAGGAAAATGAGGTTGGTAATGGACTTTCGTAAACTTAACGAAAAAACCGTGCCGGACAAATACCCTATGCCAAATATATCAATGATATTGGGGAATTTGGGGAGAGCCAAATTCTTTTCAACATTAGACCTCAAGTCTGGTTATCACCAGATCATACTCGCTGAACGCGACCGTGAAAAAACCTCTTTCTCTGTGAACGGGGGGAAATACGAGTTCAAAAGACTCCCCTTTGGATTAAAGAATGCAGCAAGCATTTTTCAAAGAACCATCGACGACATACTGCGAGAGCAGATTGGCAAATTTTGCTATGTTGATGTCAATGACGTAATCATCTTTTCAGAAGATGAGGAATCCCACATTAAACACGTGGATCGGGTCCTAAAAAGCTTATACAAAGCAAACATGAGGGTCTCCGTCAAAAAGTCACGTTTTTTTAAGAAAAGCGTGAACTTTCTTGGTTTCGTAGTCACCAGCACTGGCACCACGACGGATCCTGAAAAGGTTAGGGCAATACAGGAGTATCCAGAACCAAAAACGCTGTTCGAGGTTAGATTATTTCTAGGCCTCGCAAGTTATTACAGATGTTTCATTAGGGACTTCGCCGCAATAGCAAGACCCATCTCGAATATCCTGAAGGGTGAAAATGGAACAGTCAGTAAGCATAGGTCCAGAAATATAAAGGTTCAATTCTCTGAAGTGCAGCAGAGGGCATTTCAGAAGTTGCGCGATATTTTGTCATCCGAGAATGTAATGCTCAGGTACCCCGATTTTAAGAAGCCATTCGATCTAACGACCGATGCTTCGGCTCACGGCATAGGTGCAGTTTTGTCTCAAGAGGGTCGTCCTATAACAATGATTTCAAGAACATTGAAGGACAGTGAGGTTAACTATGCAACCAATGAGAGAGAGTTATTGGCCATTGTATGGTCACTTGCCAAATTAAGGCACTATTTGTATGGGGTGAAAGACATTAATATCTTCACTGACCATCAACCCTTGACCTTCGCAGTTTCGGAATCTAATCCAAATGCGAAAATCAAAAGGTGGAAAGCGCGCATTGACGAGTCTAATGCACGTATCTTCTATAAACCTGGCAAGGACAATCTGGTTGCGGATGCCTTGTCAAGACAGCAGCTCAACGCTATAAATGAGCAAGAAATTGAGTCCTGCGCAGCAACGATCCACAGTGAGGTATCTCTCACCAACACCATTGAGACGACAGACAAACCCTTGAACTGTTTTCAAAACCAGATAGTGCTAGAAGAGGCGCGTTTCCCCTTAAAACGAAGTTTTATTCTTTTTGGAAATAAGAAACGCTACTTGATCAGCTATACATGCGTCGAATCGCTGCTAGACGAGCTCGAAGATGTAGTCTCACCCAAATGCATAAATGCTCTCCACTGTAATTTACACACGCTTGCAATGATACAAGATGCATTGGTGCGAAGATACCCAGCCACAAAGTTCTGGCATTGCAAAAATCGCGTAGTGGACATATTTGCGGTTGGAGAAGGAAGGGAAATCCTCACAGTCGAGCATAATAGGGCCCATAGGTCTGCACAGGAAAATGTTAAGCAGGTACTCTCGGAGTACTACTTTCCACGGATGGCAAAAATTGCCAAGGAAATAGTACAAAACTGCAAAACATGTGCTAGGGCTAAGTATGATAGACACCCCAAAAAACAAGAGCCACAAGAAAAGATAGAAGAAAAGATCAGAAACGCTCAGACGACGCTCAGAGCTAGGGAGAACGCAAAGCGGCAGAATAGAGTCTTCGATGTTGGTGACAAGGATTTGGTCAAGTCCAACCGACGGCTCGGAAACAAACTCACACCTTTATGTGTCGAGAAGGCCGTGGAAGCAGACCTGGGGACCGAGGTCCTCATTAAAGGAAGGGTGGTCCACAAGGACAACCTAAGATGACTCCCTTGTTTTTTTTTATTACACCTTTTTTTTAAGCCGCTAGGCAATTTCGAATAAGTTAGATATAGTTTTCTATTTACCTTTAGCCACTTGGCATAGTTTTTATAAAACATTTTGGTGGCGGGTACACCCGATGCTGGTGATTTAGAGCAG